CAAAAACACCTTTAATCAGCCCATGCTATGATTTTCTACTATCATTCTGGGTATTTTTCTATCCATCATTTTTTGGCTGCCAAGGTGACCCTTCTTTTTACGTCTTTGCTAAAATTTGTACAATTTAAACCAGTTAAAAATTTAACTTTTATCAACTATTGGATGAGGTTTTTGTGATATCCGGAATTTTCAAGGTCGCGGTAAGGGTTATCAGCCGACCCGAGGCTGAGGCTAATAACACTTACCAAGAGCTTGATTTTTTTAGGATATGACAAAAACCGAACCTGATGACTTTTTATTATACATTGTTTTGGAGAAAATAACGACAAACACACCGTCGCAAGGAACCTGAATTGATATTGTTTTTGGAAATCTGGCACGCAACCTACAGATTAGTCAGTTATCTGCTAGCAGATAACTAACTAGTCTGTAGGTTGCGAGTGCAATGTGAAATTAGCTGTAGGCTCTCAGCCAATGAGGAGACAAATAGTGAGTACAATGTTTAAAAAAACGGTTATCACCTTTCCCCACAAAATGACGGGTTCACACAAGAGCCCTACTTAGTACTTGCTCAGAACATCTCCTCCTTGTAGTCAATCTCGTCTCAGAATCGAAAGCTCTCTAATGTTGAGGGAAAAATCCGAAAAAGAAGGAGTCGTCTCAGTGAAAGTCGAGATAGGTCTAAAATTCTGGTCACTTTTCCACAGGACAGAGTACAGGTCACCGTGATAAAAATAAAAAAAAAAATTCAAATCAAATAAAAATGTCTAGCCCTGGTTTCTTGACCGTTTTCATGGAGGGGGATCGGTGTGGTTTGGTAATTTGTCGATGGAGCAGAGAATTATACTTTTGACTTGTGGAATGTGACCTGTACTTTAGACCCGGCAGTTAATATTCTTGCCTTCAACAGAAATTAAGTCATTCGTGATAGAAATTTCCTAGAAACAACATGTGAATACAAAGACAACCCCCACTTCCTTTCAAAAGTCTATGAGGGGCCGACCATTTGACTTTTGAAGGAATTTCTCTTCCCGAGTCGAAACAATATTTCACTCGTTCGCGCTTTTTCAACACTGGAATAGAAATTCCATACCTCAGCGCGGCCACGTTATATCTTTTACTTTTTTCAGTTACGGAAATTTTTTCCCTGGTATTTCCTTGCAAGAATTTTATTCCCTGAGATCAGTCTGCGGGGATTTTTTTTTTAATTAACCATACCCCCCCCCCCCCACCTCAAAACGTCACATGGTCGGCTCCTAAATAATGACAAGCCCGGGGTTAGATTTATAAATACGTGGGATTTACAACTGCTATTTTCGCAGTTATGGATTTAAGGGGAGTTTCCGACTTGATTCTTATTTCTATGTACTCCCCCTCTTTCAAAAGTACATACTAAGGATCGTCACTTGATTGCACGAAAAAGCTGTCAAAACAAAAGATAACAATTTGGTTAATTGACAATCTATTAATTCCAGTAACAGTCTTCAATACTTTTGTGTCTGGAACCCCATCGAAGGGCGGGAAATGTTTTTGCGAGGTCATTGTTAACTATTTATGGAAACAATCCTGAAGTCTGTTCTCCCTGGAAAGGCAGGAAAAGAAAAAGTCACTCGATGGAGGAGAATACATTTGGGAAATAAAAACAAACTTTCTTTTTTAGTTATAGTGCATGATAGAATTGCAAAGAGCTCAGCATTGCGTTTTACATGTTTCCGCGCTTTTCGAAATAGCGCAAGTCTACTTGCGTTTAGCCGGTTGTAGAGTATATGAGGGTCATTTAAAAAACGACTGAGTGATAAAAACTTTTCGCAAACATCCAAAAAGTAGCAAATTCGTCTGCACTAAGTCCAGTCTTCAGTTCATGCATAATTGATGCCCTTTTTGTAGAAATTCTAAGATATCTTGAAATTCCTCTGATAGATTTGATCTGAGCATTTCTGGGCTAATTGTCTCTGAGATGTTAGCCAGTTATACTCAGAAAATTCCATACAAACCCTTCTGATTTTTTTTGGGTCGACCCAAAACAATTTAGAAGGGTTTGTATGGAGTTTTCTAAGCATAACTGGGCTATGATCTCAGAGACAATTTGCCCCGAAATGCTCAGTTTTGGCAAGTAGGCCTCTTGGAGATTGTTCTTTCAGAATAACCCGACAAATCCCATAATTTCAGAAATTTCATTTTTATGACGTCACACTTTAGTACTCTATAACCCCACGTAATAATTTTGTGTTCGTTCCCAGTCAACTTCCAAATCTGTTCGCCAGAAGAAAATGACCCGTCCCCTCCTTAGAAATAGGCCGCACTGAAGGGGTGCGGGACATGCTAAGCCTTCTCGAAGATCCATGCGCCCATTTTTTGATTTGGTGTTGCCCTCACGAGCAGCCCCAAATAAATATATTTGAAATGACGCACAACATATACGTGTTGACTCACACCATGCAAAGAATAGAAATTTTGGTAAAAGGCATTTACAATTACGAATATTTCTGCCAGTCAAATCCTTGAATTCAAATACTCCGCGAGAAAATAGATTTGATTGTGGGTAGAGTGGGCAAAACACTACTTCCGATTAATCCATCGTATCGACAGGACATAAGATAGAAACAAAAAAAAAATTAGTGAACCAATAAGACAATTGCAGACTGGGTTATAATGGATTATTGACAGCGGCAAATACATTTGACTTGGTACTTCGCTTAGTCCAAACATAAATATATCCTCTATGTAAAGTATTCCCCAGTGCAGATTTGCGGTGATGATCTTTTGGACCTATAGAGACAACACATAACTAAAACTGAGTGTCTTAATGAGAGATTAACCATGTTCAAAGTTTATTGATGGAGTTTGCTATTCCATGAATGGTGACACGATTTTGCCTTTTATACTTTATGAAATTATTAGTCTCTCCCATTAATAATTTATGATATTGATATAACTTATTATTGACATACCTCATGAACTTCGAGAAAATTGATATGAACTGATGTTTTAGTTTAAACCTCGCAGTGAGACTCATACATCAACTGTTTGAAATACTTGTTGAACAATATTTTAATAGGCATCCAAGTATGTGTCTCACAGTGTGGCAATCATGTAGTGCCCTTCTGCTGTTACAATTCATGAGCCTCATAACTGACCCGAATACACAGCAGTGTTGTATATGCAAGGTAGAATGTAACACATTGGTAACGACGCATTAACCAGAGTAACGCAAAAGTGACGCAGTAGTAGTGTGTAGACTTTATAGAGAGTATCAGATTAGTATTGTGTATCCTCTCAGCTTTTGAACAACACCGATCAAAGATCAGGGCCTTATTTTTGAATAACAAAAAAACGAGGACGAGAGTGCAGAAAAGGGAAAATTTAGAAAACAAGTAAACAATTGTGCAAACTACTTAAAAATATATCATAATTACAATGATGTTCTTCTAAAAGTAGAGCCCAGAACTGAAATGATTTTCAAAAGATCAATACATAAGGCACCCTCTTTGACAGTAAAGGAGATTTCAGTTGATCATGGTGTAGTTTCAGATAGCAAGTATTTGAGATTTAGTGTCTGTAGTGTTCGCAGATTCTCATATTCTGTATAACTCGTTCGGCTCTTCCCTCTTCATGACCGGCTGAGTCCTCGCCTCATTTCCTGACATGGAATCATTCACGTCTTTAACGCCCTTCACGTTTCATCACTGGAGTGTTCTTTACTTAACTCAATCTGGAGCAAGTCTAGGGAACGCTGCACCTATCAAAACAATACCAGTATTGTGACAATTGATGTCTATGTGTTAAGGGATAGACGTTGAAAAGAAAAGCTAAGGAATATGTAATTGTCCAGGGCAAAATCTACTCAACTATACAGTCATACCAGTTGATACGTATGCACGCCTATCGGCAGAGTGCTCAATACAAGGACTAGAGCGTAGTACAATCAAGGTTATCTCGTGTCAACGATCGGACTTGGCATTTTTATTACTACTTAGTTTCGTTACGGTATGTGCGGCACTCCTCAGATAAAATTACCCCTACCCCTAACTATACAGTTACATTAGTTTAAGACACCCTGAAAGCAAGTGACGGTTTAAAGATGCCTGCGTCTCTAAAAGTACTATAACAGCTCTGGGTTCCGTTTCTCGAAAGCCCCGATAATTAACGGGCCCGTAAACCTGTTAGAGCGATTTTCGTATGTCCTTGAAAAATGGTTTCGGTAAATGTTTGTTATTTGTTTTATCAGCCAATGGATGAAAAGAACAAAACATGGACTCTTCGTTTTCCCGCCAAAGAAAACCCTTATATGGAGAAGGCATTGTTCGATTGACCAATCGTGTTACAGTATGACGTCAAAGCGATTTCTAGAAAGTTCTTCGGGCATGAAGTTTTTCAGCCGAGCGTTCGGTTTTCATTTCAAGGTCATACGAAAATCGCTCTATTGTTTACATGCAAGATAGGGGTTTCAACAGTTTTGTATCTAACATGATAAAACTATCAGTTATTGAAACAAAATGGAGTAGTTTGCTGGCCAGGATCCGCGCCCTTATTCTTTGTATTTCGATTAGAATATTTGATTTCGGGCCCAAAAAGTTACCGGGACTTTCGAGAAACCGGCCCAGGAGGAAGAAACGTTGAAAAAATGTTTTTGATGGCTTGCAGCGTAAACGCAGAGCAGATGGACAAGCCGCTCTGATTGAATAACAGAACTAAATTGCCAGTTTTACGCCAGTAAATTGCTAAGCAGCAACAAGTCTTAGTTGGCTTAATATTAATTAGACGCGTCCCGTCAGATCAGTGATTTGTTTCCTTTTCAGCAAAAAGTCTCGTACAAAGCATATTTCAGTTTCAAAATGACAAACTTGTTTGTCGTTCAAGATTTTACTAAGCAGGAAAGACTTCTTCACCACTTCTTTACTTGTAAAACAACAACAACAACAACAAAAAGCATTTGGCATGACGGGAGGTCGTATACCTGGTCGGTACGTGTGCGCCTTATGCATAAGAATTATTCTGTCACGCTGCTCTTCTCGACTGAAAAATTCATGAATGGGTTTAACGAATTCCTGAACAAATACCTGATTCATAAGTTGAATTGATGATGTGAGCACGTCTCGCCATCTGAAAGAAAAAGAAAATATTAAATAAAGAAAAACTTCTGAGATCTCTAACTTCCTTAACACACCTTTACTAAATAATATTAATTAATACTAAACAGCGAGGTACAGACCGACGCGAGCAACAGTTTTTCGTTGTCAGTTCACGTTGCAACCTTTCTTTCTTTGGCCTCCCTCTTTATCAGGAAACGTGTAACAAAACGAAAAAATATTGGTTGAAACTTTCCTCGCCGATTATAAAGTAAGAAAAAAAAGACCTTGAAAAATATCTTAATATACTAGTTATCCCGACGAGCTGGAAGGAGGGGGGTCATGTCTGATACCTTCTCATCTCCATTTCTTGCATCTTTTTCTGTTCTTGAAGCAGACTGGACCACTGGGAAGCATCCGCTGGAAGGTCTCTACAGAAAAACCATTAAACATACAGGCTAAGATTATAAATCATAAGAACTGATCCATGGCGTTCGTTACGTTTAAGCGTAGTGAAGCCAATAATAAAAATATTTTTGAGGGGTGTTTTCCCAGTTGTTCAAAAGGTGGATAACGCTATCCGTCGGATAATTCTCTATGCACTAGATAACGCAATTGCTTTTCTAAAACTTATTAACTTGATACAGATTTTTTCAGTAGATAGTGCTATCCATCTTTTGAACAACCGGGGCCAGCACTCTATTTATTCTAGCCGGCGTGTACCTACTTGATAGTTCCGTCCCAGTGTATACCAGTGTAAGTTGCTTGCTCAAGCAGGAGAAGTCTGTGTACCAGAAATACGTTAACAACCAGTAATACCCCAAGCCTGAAGACAAAAAGTGTAAAGACTAAGCACATCACACTACTCAGTAACGTGTCCAATATCCATTTTCTCTTTTTCAGACACAATGTTACTTGAAATCTCCCTGGTCTGACATAGACGTGGTTGTGCAGTAAAAAACTGGCAAAATTTCGCAAAATAATATTCGAAATACAAGGCGGATCAGAGGAGGACAAACTAAGTAAACAATTGATGGCGTTAGACACTTATTTAGCTACTTCTTTTCAAACAATATAATGAAAAACTTACAGAACTGTTATGCATAATGCCAGGGGGTTTTTCGCCCGAACTTGTGGCACATGAGACCTATGGAGAAGGAAACAAATTATCAGTGTTTGCTGCCTTTCTGACTACATAAACACTACTGGTTTATTAGTGGGTAACACTCCATAAATCCCTGGAATTATGGTTTTACTGTATTTATCAAAAATAGGCACTCAATAAAGTAAGAAATCTTTTTGAACTGGGTACAGGGATATAGACCAGGGTACCACCGAGCGACACAATACTGCTACTGCTGCTACTGCTACTGCTCGGGACAGTGACCCGGTAATGAACTAGCATGTCATCATCAAACGAAATTTCAATTCCTTTGTTACTTTTTCATTCTTCACGTACTATAAGGAGTAAAACAGTAAATGCAAAATTTTCAGTAGATACCGTACAACGTACAACCTCTCCTGGATGATTTTTCACTAGGTGTCTCATATATATGCGATGCATCAGGTTCTGTTTACTGAAGTTAGTTTACTGACCTCATTCCCATGACACTTGATATTACTCCTTTTAGCGACAATCTTTGAAGTAGGCTTGTTTTAACATCTACAAAAATGGCATTATATAGAAGAAAACTCTTTTCAAAAATGGACACAGCTAGCTAACGTTTTGAAGAAAACGCGGTTTTTGCAGCAAGAGAGAAAAACGAAAAACGACATTTCAACACTTATTGTAGCCCAGCACCACAAAGATAGAAATACTCAGCTATATGGGTAAAGTAGCACTGCTGTAAATGACCAAAACGATTCTTTTACTCTCAGCCTTCAAATATTTTACAGAAAAATGCAATTCGAATCATGTTCAATCCTACTGTTAAGATTATTAGCAATTATGAAGTTCTCTGATCTTGTTACATTATTGCACTTTTTATGCATAAATTTCATAACAAGTTATTTCCTTCCTATTTTGATACCTTTTTTAATTCAGTGTTGAATATTCAAAACTACAATACACGAAGTGCAGCAAATCAATTTCATTACCTGCCTCGAGCTAGGACAAACTATGGAATATTTAATATTCGCTTTCAAGGACCAAAGGCATGGAGCTCCCTTGGGAAAGATACAAAGTCAACCCCTTTTCCTAGACTCGTTAACTCTCTAGTTATTTTAGGAAGCCAACAACCCTTTTAGCTTGAGTTTTAATTTCATGTAAATTTAATTTTTCTTAAGTATAAGGGGTCAATAAAAGTTGTTGGTTTAACGCACCTATCGATGCTTCATTTGTTGGTTCCATGGCTTCATTATTTTTAAGACTACGATTCCTCTTGTGTCTTCTTGTTGGTGACGTTTTTCTTTTCTTTATCCACTGACCCTCTGTGGTTTCTCTTCTCAGACTTTCCGCTAAAACGAAACGGGAATGACTTAACATTCACAATATATAGTTAAGATGAGAACAAGAGGAATGCTTCGAGGACTTACTCAGGACATACCTAGGAACTGGAAATAATCTGCAATACCTTCCACTGCATTCTTCTCTATCATATCTTAAAAAACACAAAATAACAGATATCAAATATTATTTGGATAACTACAACTGATATGTTTCTAACACAGAACTTAACATCCAGTCACGACTGCCTCATTAACCGCGTTAACCTTCAACTTTCAATATTTTACTTTAATAAAGGAGACACAAACCACTACCAGCGAGTGGAATAAAAAACTTACTTAAAAAACATGGCCTGCTTAAGTAATAACGTGGTTTTTTGATAATGTACTCCATTCACAAACAAAATATCACCTTGTTGTGTTACCCTTGCTTGCTCTGCTAAGTAACTTTGCTGAAAATGAAATATTGTGGGAAGCCCGGCTCTGCTCAGTCTGTTTGTAATTATCAAAACAAAGTTCAGACAAAACTTACTTCTCACGAATCCCCAAACTGACTTATGATACTTGACTTCAGCCGTTACTCTACAAGTACAAACAAGATTGCAGACAAAGAACTGATCTACATCATTCTGAAACAATTCTCACAGTTAGAAGATGGAGAACAACATGTCATTCAATTAATGCTTATCATAATAGTTTTGCGCAAAATCGAACAGCGTTTTAGTTTTAGATCCTAGTTTGGGCTTTTGACTCGTGTGCGCCTTTACCTGTTACCTTACCTAATTCTCCTCCTGAAACATTCTTACAAGGCTGGTACTATGATTTCCTTCTCTACAAAAATCAACTATTACTGTAAAATCAACTGTGTCAAATAATGAAGTATCTGTTTAACTCTCGACTATTATATATCATATGGATATTCTTCGTAGATCTTTGAAACATGTTAAGGTTTCTAGAGAAAATCAACTTTTGACTCTTTTAACGGTGGTAAATCTACCACGTTTGTACAACCGCTCCAATCGACACTACCAAGTATGTTTACAGTCTGATAGTAACATGTAAAGCTAATTAATACCTTAGTCTACTAGTGGTGACTGAAGCGCGTGTAATACAGTATCTACTGGTGATACTAAAACTGTCTCCATAAGGGATTCCTTCATTGTTCACCTAAAAAGAAAAATCCCAGTTGGATCTATGATCATGGTGCACGTAACAATGTATTTTCAAACAGAAATGAATACAAATCATTAATTTTATTCTAAAGCAACAATCAGCAGTACAGTCAGAAGACGACATTACTCGCCTCTGAAGAGCGTTTCAGCGTAAACGGAGATAGAGCGCTTGTAACCTCGAAACGATATAGCGCAGCAATTAACCGAAGGAAACCTATTTTTGGGACGTAGACACAAACGTTTCATAAGCAAACCCGCACAGCTTTTACTTGGTGGTAAGGGAAAATTGAGAAAGACAAAAGAATCGCCCTGTAACGTGAAAACAATTTCCTCAAGCAGCACTGATGTAAAAGAACTAAGCCCTCATTGACGCCAGCACAAAGCTGGCGGATAAATATCTACTTTCTCGAAGGGATGTTGCACAATCAAATGGGCAATAGTAAGACTTTTACTAGCTGCATACCTCTGCATGAACCATGTAGATTTTGCCAGGAACACTTCCTTGAAGACAGTGCTTCCAAGAAAACAAAAGAAAAAGTAAGTTTATTAAAATATTACGACTAACTTGCATAATGACTAAGTATCGTTGCGTTATGTTACCTGTTTCTCGGTTGTAGCTGAGTGCTTTGGTCCAATAGCGTGATTAAGAGAGACCGTGTATCTGATGGTTCTTTTCTGACCATCTTCTGTCGTCATCCATGGATTAAACACCAGATCTGCACGGGGATGCGGGAAGGAAAACAATGCGAAGAAAAGAGAGTCAGAAAAAAAGCATGACTTAGGTTGTTTGTCAGGTTTTCTTTAAAACAAATAATTTCTCACCTTTTGTTTTCCTTGCCTTCTGTACTCTTTTGTAGAAATCAGACTCTGTGAAGAGGTACTCATAAAGGGTATCCACACTAACGGGAAACTCCTAATAATTAGAAAAATATTTAATTAACATAAACTTATCGCCGGCTATAGTTCGATACAGGTGTGACCCGCACCTAGCACTCACTTAATTGGCCGACGTAAAAGAAGTTAAAAAACAACTCATTGGAGAAGTAAAACTACCTAATCAAAAATCACAATAGAGATCGCTGCGCTTGGCAACGCCGAAAAAACAGAACACAAAACAGATTTACTATGCACAGGAACCAAACAAATAACTTACAAGTAGGATATGACTGATCACAAACCTGATTTACATACTCCTTGCTAAGGTGGTCATCACAAACACAAGTGACTGGAGCTAAAGGAAGAAAGGTTTCATTAAAAAAGATATCATTAAAGTCTCTTATAATCATCTTCAGCATTATTAACCAGGTCAGTGAAGAAATATTCAATTTTGAGTTTCTAATTGAATGTTTACTTCTTCAAAAGATGTGAATTATAATCGGGTATACTAAAAAATAGAGAACTAAGAGGAAACACCGTGCATAAAAGTAGTATAAAACGGTACAATAATAATTGAAGGGCTCCATGCACCAAAAGAACGTTCTATAACCCTAATTTAACGACATTTTGTGGTGGCAGTGAATAAAGGGTTTAAAATAAATGTACAACGTAAAGGAACAAATGCAAACTGTGTAAATACAGTTGCAGATGAGGCTCCCAAATAGGTTTTTTCGGGATTTGGAAATTTGCCTTATAAGAAGTCACTATTAGGGACTACAGGAAAAGGTCGGCGAGATTCAGGATTGCAAATATGAATGGGAAGCTGGATATGGCAAAGTGGTATTAGGGAAACGCTGTTGACAATAGAACCGACGAAAAAATTACGTCTTTTAAACTTAACGACGGGTAATCAATGCCAACATTTTCATTGTCCCAGTCACGTGATTATTCTGAAAGTGAGAAAGATGTTTATTCAGTCGGCAGTGACACAGAGGGCTCAGAAGAAAAAAAATTGTGTCCCCTTCTTGATCCCTTTTTTCTGTCGCTGGTTATTCTATCATGCCGGAATCTGAAACCTCAACGAAGCACTTTTTAGAACGGTCACTATTTTTGCAATCGGGATTTGCCAGTAATAACTGTCACAATTACATTTTGTTCAGGATGACGGGATTGAAAACACAGCTGGGGAACCACGTAATTCAGACAGGTTGTCAAAAACAAGCTAAGAAACATTCTCTCCGAAAAGGTACTTTTCCCAAGTAAAATTGATAATCACCAAGTGAGTCTTTTGTAGAAGTAGAACATGATACGTTTTTTGCATCAAATGGAAACTCGGAAAAAATCCGAGCCCTGCTAGCTCGCCATCGAGTCTCCAGTAGCTTAGTGGTTAGAGCATCCGGCTAGATCACGGAGGGTTGTGGGTTCGAATCCCATCTGGGGCCCGGATTTTTTCCCAGTTTCCATTTGATGCAAAAAACGTATCATCTTCTAAAATTCATAATAAAGAAACAGTAACAATGAAAGTTCACTATTTTTCGCTGGTATGCTGCATTTTTCATGGAAAGTGACAATACATACCATAATCATTATTTTCTGCATCATGATCATCAGATGCTGTACCCTCTTCTTCCAAGTCACTACTCACTCTTGCTGCTCTCTTGTTATCTGGGTCAGCTGTTGACTGTTGCTGCTGCTGTCTTGTTGCTTCTGCTGTTACCATCCTCTTTTTCGCAGCAGGTGACCGTAACAAGTTTTTGAGGTGTAAATGAGGTGATGTTGGTCTCGAGTGTGGTCGTTTCTCACCATTCTGTGTGGTATTCAGTTCACCTTCAGACTGTAATGGAAGCTGTTGGTCAGCAGTATTCCGATTAAGGGTATCTGTTGGCTTTGACGTGATTGCCGCAGGTGAGGGTGGAGTGATAGACACTTTGGGTGTAGAATCACTTTCCGCTTTCCTGAATTCAGACTAAATTAGTGAATGTATCAGTTATTACATTTTTCACTGCCTTGCAATCAAAGGGGAGAAGAGGAGGTATCACTAAGTTTTGCATTTCACTAATTTGGGTGATCATACATTTTCAAACAAAGTCTAATTGGGGGCTATTCCAACTCACCTAAAAAAATCTAATCTATTTTTAACCTCCAGCTGTAATTCTTGCTAAAACGTTCTGTAGTTGTGCTTAAAAAAGCACTTGACCAAAGAGAAGAGCAGTATTAAGTCTTGCTCATCACCAGCCCATTAGTATTAGGACTGACGCTGAAAACATGCTTCTTATTAGGTATCCCAAGAACTGTTACCTGTATGTTGTAGTGACTGTGTATTGTGTTATTGCTTTTTAATCTGACACTTGCACAAGTACTTCATACTTCATAATTCTAATTAACTCAGTATCGACATTAGGGAACCACGACGACGACTTTGTCGACGACGACCGGAAGTGAGTTACAGTGTACTGCGCAAGCGCGACCAGTAAATTTCGTTGTCGTGGTGTCGTTGACGACGCCAACTAAAGTAGAATCACGTCGTCCAGCAATCCACAAGCTTCGGCAGGTGTAAATCCACTCTTTTGAGCGATTTTGAAGTCCTTTGCATTTCCTTATCCTCGTAAATCCAGGTATCGTTCCTTTTTTCTCCTAAAAAGCGATGCTGGTTGAAAATTCGACTTATAAATTGTTTTTACTTCGAAGAATGACAACAGCTCTGGAGGCCGAACGAGCGAACTCGTAAGTGATTTGTACGTATTTAGATAAGGAAAATCACATATCTTTACTATAGAGGAAATAAACTTTATATAGAAAACAGCTATTACATCAGAATGTCTCTTTTTCCAAATCTAAACTCTGACAGACACTCGGACTCGGTTATCTCATTCACGTTGAAAGGTGAATAATCCTCTTACGGAAAGGAGGTGTTTTTCTACTCGAAAAGGTCAGACAA